TGCATGAATTTATTCAGGTGTGATTTTGGCCCATTTTTCCGCACAAACTGTCTTTAAATCTTGAAGGTGCTATGGGCCTCTTCTAGGAACGCTGATCTTTAGGTCTTTCCGTAAATTTTTTTTTTTTTTTTATTATTGGATGCTGGTCAGGTGATTGGTTGGGCCATTCTAGCAGCTTTACTTTCCTCCTTTTGAAACCAATTGAGAGCTTCCTTGGCTTTGTGTTTGGGATCATTGTCTGTCTTGCTGAAATGTCCACCCTTGTTTCATCATCCTGGTAGATGGCAGCAGATTTTTATAAAAAATGTCTTGGTACAGTTTTACATTCATCCTTCTTTCAATGACATGAAGTTTGCCAGTACCGTATGCTGAAAAACAGCCCCACACCATGGTGTTCCCACCTCCAAACTTTACTGTTGGTATGGTGTCTTTGGGGTGATGTGCAGTGCCATTTCACCTCCAAACATGGTGTATTATGGCAGGCTTTGAAATTTCCACTCACCTGCTCACATTTTGCGAGTGGAAATAACATGGGGGCGAGGGCCAGATCGATCAAACAGCCGATAGATATGGAGCGGGTGTCGGCACCAGAGGCGGAATAACCTTTCAGGCATTAAGCACTCACACTACCCAAGGACCCAGAGTCCTTAGGAGGTCCTATGACAGGCTCCTGAAAGGATGGGGAGGGGCTGCAGGGTGGATTGTGCAAGCGTGCTACGAGTCCAGTCCAGTGAGAGGAGAGAGTGACTGACAGAGCCCAAGGAGGAGGAGAATCCACAGACTGGTGAGAACTCGGCATGTAACAGTGGGAGGAAGGGGGAGAACTGTCTGTTACAGGAGTGCTGAGAAATGGAGTGTGACAGGCTGAGAGAGCCAGAGGGGAGACGTGTGTGTGTGTGTGTGTGTGTGTGTGTGTGTATGTGGTGGTGTTGGAGGCTCTGTATTCACTTGATGTAGCAGTGGGCCCTGTGTGTGTTTTGGGGGGGGTGCATTGTACCATATCGGAGACCACGGGTTCTAAGGGGGGGGGGGGTTGTGTGCTCATTATAACCTCAAATTATGGGGGGATAGTGCCATAATTGTGAGTAGCAGAAATACCAATCACTCCCTTTTTTGCCCCTTTTTTTATTTTTTAAAAGGGGTAGAGGACATAGCTATGGGGGAGGGGGTGAAGGAGGGTATATATTTCTGTAACTATTCTGCATAAAACATTTAAGTGTCATTTAATGAGAGAATTTACGAGGGTGTGTTTAGGGGAGGGATTAGGGGCATGGCAGGGTAGCGGTTTGGTGGGGCAACTGGTGGAGAGTAACTCTTAAGGCCTGCTAGTAGCTCAGGACTTGAAATTTTAAGCCCTGTATTATGGCATCCAAAGAGTTCAATTTTGCTCTCATGTGACCAGACTACATTCTCCCAGTATTTCACAGACTTGTCTAAATGTTGTGCAGTAAACTTCAAATGAGCTTCAACATGCTTTTTATTCAGCAATGGGGTCTTGTGTGGTGAGTGTGCATTCAGGCCATGGCGGTTGAGTGCATTACTTGTTTGACACAATTATATCTGCTAAATCCAGGTCTTTCTGAAGCTATCCACAAGTGGTCCTTGGCTCTTGGGCAACTCCTCTGATAATAATTTTCACTCCCTTGTCCGAAATCTTGTGAGGAGAACCTGGTCATGGCCGGTTTATGGGCAAATTATGTACTTTCCACTTCTGGATGATGGCTCCAACAGTGTTAACTGGAACATTCAAAAGTTTAGAAATCCTTCTGTAACCAATTCCATTAGTATGTCTTGCATCGATAAGGTTGCAAAGGTCTTGAGAGAGCTCCTTGCTTTTGCCCATCATGAGATGTTTCTTGTGTGACACCTTGGTAATGAGGCACCTTTTTATAGGCCATCAGTTGAGACTGAACAGCTGATATTAATTTGCACTGACAAAGGGCAGGGTTGCCAATTACTGATAAACTTCAGCTAGTGTCTTGGCTTGCCATGCCTTTTTGCACCTCCCTTTCTTCATGTGTTCAATACTTTTTCCATGTCATTCCATTTTATTACACATAACCTAATTTCTGAACATATTTGTTTTGGTTTCTTTGTATGTATGGATTGCATGGGCTGTTACCGACGGAAAAATTTCAGGTCAATAGGACCTTTAGAAATATATTTGCCTAGAAAAAAATGTCTTTAATACTTATTTTTCCTGCTGTATATTTACAGTCGCTGTTTCACAGTATAAATTAGCTCCTTATAGTAGTGATTATCTGCTGTTTTGTACTAATGAAGGGCTGATTTTTTTTGTTTTTTCTATCCCATCATTACAGGTGCTACAAAAAGCATGCTGCTGCTACTAAATGTCTCAGTGACAGCAGGCAAAGGTTCTGTTATTTATTACAGGTACTTTTATAGTGCCATTAATTTATGCAGCAGTTTACACACATTTTTTACATTCACATCAGTCCCTGCCCTCAAGGAGCTTACAATCTAAGGTCCCTAACTCACATTCATACATACTAGGACCACTTTAGACAGCAGCCAGTTAACATATCAGCATGTCTTTGGAGTGGGAGGAAACGAGTACCCTGGGGAAACCCACGCAGGCACAGGGAGAACATGTATGTCGTGGTTAGGATTCAAATAGCCAACCCTAGTGCTGCTAGGCGGAAGTGCTAATCACTTAACCACTCTGCTGCTCTCAAGCTACCTACCTATTCCAAGGGAATCTGTCATGCATAATATTATATTACAGTTCTGTCTGTAAATCTACAAAACAGTGTATTTAGTCTTTTTTTTTTTTTTTTTTTTTTTCCTGACTCTCATGATATGTACCAGATTCAACCAGCGATAGTATATTCTACTAATATTTACTCTTATTCTATATACTCTTCTGTCTGTTATTCTCAGAGTGGATTAGATATTTTGTTCCTCTACCATATACTGTAGCTGGTTATTTATAATTACCATTGCATATTCAAGAATAATTTTCTTTTTTTAAACTTTATATATTATATGCCAAACGGTTTGGGTTTTTTGTCATCTGATTAAATGAAACAATAATTGGCCAACCATTATGAAAATGTTAGTTGCAGTCCTAGACTGGAGATAGATTGGGTACAATAAGCCTGCTTCTGGTTCCTTTCACATTTTAATTGAATTGAACTAATCATCGCTGTTGTTTTTTTTAACCAGCTACTTTAGTTAATCAAATAGGTTGAGAACAGAAGTGATCTGCTAACTACACCAATAAGGCAGAATATTTACTGTAAAGGGCAGTGTGTTAACACATTATATTGGCTTTTGACAGTCCTTTGCAAAAGTATATCCTTGAGGTTTGTTTTTTTTTTTTCTCTTTCTTATTAAGAGAGAACTCCTCTGTGACACATTTGTAGCTGCATATTCATAAACAAGGGCACTCACTGACTGGCCAAAATGAAACTTAGCCTTTCTTTGCTTTGACACTCCACACATAGTACCAGTGTGTGTGTGTGTGTGTGTGTGTGTGTGTGTGTTTGTGTAAAAGTGTGTAAACATTTTGAAGACCCCTTGTACATCTGTTATTACCTTAATTATGCAGATCAGAGTTATTTTACATGACAGCTCAATGTATATTGGTTTTAATTGGTTGTATGAATATATAAAACTTCTGATTTAGTGTATAGGTGTCCTTTTGTAAAGGCGAATACACAGCTTTATCAAAATACTGGAATCTGAAGGAAAACCGCTGTCAAGATGGAAGATTTACCCACACCCCTTTTTGTTCTTTGAATCTGCAAGAATAAGCCAGTCATTTGGATATAGTGAAGTTGCATGTAATGCACTGTGCAATGGGTAACCGTGTTGGGTATAACATGGGGCTAATTACTTTCAAGTGGTTGAAGATAGAGAATTCCCATCTTTGCATTACTAAGTGCTGACTATAGGTGCGTCCAGTTCAAAATCAATGTAGTGCACTTTGTAAAATGCATATGTATGAATGGGCCCCTGGCCCCTTTTGTGACCTCAATGTCTTTTTTTAGATCCACATGTAAATCTTGTAAAAACTTTATATACCTTGCACCAGAGAACTGGCGATGTACAAATGTCTGTGTATTACTCGTTCACAGGCTTGAGGGTAAACTACAAAATTACAGTTCTTCTGATCTGACGCATCCTGCTGCTAAACTTGGGCTGGACATCTTAACTTAAAAAAAACTAAGTGTTAAACAAGCGGGTTGAGGAGTTATTTGGTATGAGTTGTCTTCACATTGATTCATTGGCAGGTTTTTACTTTAGCTGCATTCTAGCCAGCTACTGTACAATGAAAACAGAACACAGCAGAAAGTGAAGACGTTTTTTAGCATGGTGAAATACATAGAATATAAATATATTTGTATGAATTGGCACTCACCACTTTAATTCAGACTATTTTTTTCCCATAATTATTGTATAATAACTGAACGTTAACGTTGTAAACCTCTAGCCTTCTGTAGTGTGTATTTTGATCCAAAGCACATAATGTGATTTTCTGTCTGGTCTCTCATTCTTCCATTTGCATGGATCACTTCTGACACTGTGCAGACACCAGACAAGCTTGGGAGCAAGAGCAGGGACAGCACAGCACACAGCAAGCGATTGACAGCCTAGTGCAAGTTTCTCATTGAGACACTGCAGAGGGGTTTGTGTCTGTTCTCTCCACTCAGGTGTCAGATTACACTCTGCTCCCTGTTCTATGTATTGCAGTGTGTGTCATCAGATCCCTCAAATGCTGTATACAATGTATGCTTTAGAGAGCTGCAGATAAATGGGTAGGAGGATTTGTTTCATCTTTGTGTATTACCTAAGGCCTTCAATGGGTATATTTAAGGGATTACAACCCCTTTAAGGACCCCAGAATGCAGGTCACTGGTCATTGTTTGTAATAATCCAAAGTAGTAGGATCTAAATGCAAAGCAGGATTTAAATGTATGAAACTTATGTTATACTTTAGTGCTTCTGGATAGTGCATATAAACAGGCATTTTCTTCTTATACCATTGTCCTAAGATTTGTTCTGGTCTCTTTCTGCAGTTCACATACCACCTCCTGATTTGAGTTTCTTGACCCCTTGTTTAAATCTGGATTAATCTCCTCTAGCAAGCATTTTCCTTTTACTCTGCGTTCCCTCTGCTGATATATTTTTATTTTCTTATGGGCAAGTTCCAGTTTCTTTTCAAGTTCCCAGATTTTTTTTCTTGATTTCAGCAGGGCTTGGAAGACAGTAGGCATGATCATAGTGAGTTGCTGTTTGTTTCTGGCTGTCTGCAGGGTACAGTGGTGGAGACTGTAGGTCTAGTTTTGTAGTGGCTGCTTTCTTCACAAGAGCTATCTGTAGACACAAAAGTGTTAGGGGTTACTTGGGTCTAATTTTCTAACATTCATTAACATTCACTTTCATAGGTAGACATCAGCAAGTGAAGGCTCCTTTGGATCGGAAGCGGTCTGATAATCTGTGTCATGCCTTCTTTGCAACCCAGTGTTTTAGCAAGGTAGCCCAGCTAGTGGGTATATATTTCAGGACACCAACCTACAACTGTACATGTGCAACAGGACATGATCTTTTTAACCCATTTTCCCTTTTTGTAAATGAAAGTGCAATTTGTTAGCCATTAACTGATGGCTGAATGAGAGCAGATCTAAGTTGCCTAAAAGTAACAGGGGGCACATTGCTGACTTAAAAAGTGATAATTGCTTAGCTGTCAGGCTTAACTCCCTTCTTTCAGTACTTTGAAACAAATATTTCTGACTGTCCTGATCACCATACATGTCCCATGTAAGTGACCAAAAAGTAATAGTGCCTGTTCACATATATTGCTTCCTATTGTGCGTGTTCACATATGTCCAGTGCACGGGCGGTGAGGATTTGAAAAAGAGTCCTGTATGATGTCTGAGCAGTGCCATCAGGTTCAGGTGCTATTGACTTCTATAGGAACAGTTTCTAAACCGCATATGTGTGAACAGTATAGAATCCTGACCTGAACCTGATGTAAACCTGATATGAACTGTTGAACAACTTCTGTGTTAATTAGCTGTGAAACCTGAGTTACAATCCACACCGCACATGTGTGAATCAGCTCTTAGGGTGAATGTATCAACTCAAACCACCAGGCAACTAGCATTCCAGATGTCTAATATTAGTAGCCCCTTTAACTTGTCAGTACTCTGGTACTGACTGTAACACAGGGAATAAAGGGAGTAAGCACTGGTCAGGTTCTGTGTGCCCTGAATAGTGCAGATAACCATTTTGAATGTGGCAAAAATTTTTTTTTTTTTTTTTTTTCTTTGCAGCTCCAGCCCTATAACCCTAATCTATTGTTAAAAGAATTTTAATTTTATTAGCTCACCTCCTTGCTTCACAAATGTTATTTCCTTAGTGCTACCCTGCACATACATTTGCTTTTTGGGGACACTACTGACATCTCCATTGGTGCCGAAATTTATGAAATGCCTGAATCAAAAGTCTTTAATGAAAGAAAGCTCCACCTCTTGACCATAGTGGGAAATATGTACAAAATTGCTACACATTCTCTTAAGGAAGACGTCATGCAGATTTCTGCATGGCTATATGTAACCATGAGTTCATGTATACCAGGGTTCGGTATGCAATTGTAATTAAGATTTTTTTTATACAAGATACTTACTTTTTCTAGCATATGGTTGGGATAGATAAAAATAGTGGGTGCAGCATTGACTCTCAAACGCACAGTTTGGCCTGTTCTGTCAAAACACGTCTCATCAAAATGTTTGGAACATAAAAATGTGTGCAGGCTTGGGGTGAAATGTTCTCGGTTAAGGAGGCTCAGCCACAGTTTTCGCCTCTCTGGGTTTGATGGAAATCTGACGGAAATAAATGATACAGTAAAATGAATGTTGCTACAAAGTCCTTACCAAGGCACACATTGGTTGATGAAAGGGGTTTTATAATCTTTACAATGTTTCTTACATATAAGGTGCATGGAGCAGAGAACAGTTTGTGATTAATATTATAATCGCTGATACAAAATGCATGTTTGTAATTATACAGTATAAATGGAGGCTACCATATTGGTTTATTCTGCTATTCAGAGCTGAACAAGGGTTGTGCTTTATTGCTCATTTTCACAATGTGAATCCATGGGGTTGATCTACTAACGGCTGTTCAGTTTGCAAGGGATTTTGCCCCAGATGTTAGTGACTGAGGTGAATTTCTGCCGACTTCCATCATTCAATCGTGCAAGCAAAATGGTGTTTCTTATATTTCCTTGCAAAGTGAACATCCTATCTGCCATTACTAAATCGACCCTCATGAGTCAGACAACTCCAAAAAAAAAAAACACTGCCAGTGTAGCTGATATCTGATCTCAGGAGTTGTTAAAGAGACACTTTTTTTTTTGCCAAAAATCTTTTTCATTCGATAGATTTTTTTTTTTTTTATTATCTAGTGGTTTTTTTGGGGGTTTTTTTTCCTGACAAGTCAGAGAAGGTGAATGACACATAGCATAACCATGAAAAGACAATATAATATACTCCACCTCTTCAGGGGTCCATGTCTCCTACCTTGGCTCCATTAACATGCTACAGCCTCCATCAGACTCTTTCAACACTTAGCCAGCCATAGATGGTTTGAATCTTGGCCGGTTCAGCAAGGACTCGCTCCATCTATGGCTGGATAAGGAAGTGTCATATCTTTTCGTGACATAGGCCATGGGAAGATGGAATGCTGTTAATAATTGTTAAAAGTTATGTAAACCCTTGACAACTCCAGCTTGTTACATGCACCATATAAAGCGGAATTTACTTGTAACAAGCCATCTATGGTCAGCTTAAATCCTATCTCAAGGGCGAACAAAGATGCTCCCTTGTGGTGGTGCTTCCTCCACATTACTAGGGTTAAATGCTCTTTTAGGTCTGGGGGGCATTAAAGACCCCACTACCTGGAAGCAGGCTCTCTCCTCTACTCCATTATGTTTCAGCAGCAAACTCTACCTCAGTATCCTCATGTGCAATGCAAGGCTATGATCACCAGAGTATAGGAAAGAAGAGGCTATGGGTACTGGTCTACTAATGCAGATGGAGTGGAGGCTTTTTACAGCTCCCTAGCAAATAAACGAGCCTTTAAACCATACAATGCAGGGGCAGCCCAACTGCAAGGGAGTATTTTTGTTTTCCCTGAAGTTCAGCTTTAAAAATGGATTATTATACAGGATTTATATAGTACTGACAGCTTGTGCAGTAAATTACAATATAAAGGGAGGTAGTATAGTTATAATACGCTACACAAACTGTTGGCGATATAAAAATTCTGTATTATAATAATATAATTTAAGACGAGGGTATGAAGAAATTGCCATAAATTTGAATCTGATTGCCTAGTGTGTGCTTTTATAAACTGCCCTTCCTTTCCATTCTATAATGCACAAATATGCACTCCTAATCATCTTATTACATAGTAAACCATGTACCAATTCATATACAATACATAAAAAATAGAATGCAGCAAAAAAAAAAAAAAAACGTATAGCAGAAAAAATATAACCATAAATAAATGCAACTGAAAATAAACATTGCTATGGCAGTGCTCAAAATTATACTCCACTTAAAATCATTTAGATCCCTGCCATATCTCCTTTTACATAAACTTTTTAGTGTTACCACCATGAAATACCATTCAGAAACTCTCCAAAATCTGTTGACCCTGTAACATAAAAATGTGTCAAAAAATTAGGGCACTAAGGGCTGCTAACTGCCAGCAGTTGGTATTAAGATACTATATATTATTTTGGTGGGGAGAGAAATTTTATACATATTTTTTTATTGTATTGATGTATTGTTTATTTTTCTGTTCTGATTTTATGTGAAGCATGATTTTAGGACGTTAGGATGGAGCACTGTTTTAGGATTTCTGTATGCATTAATGTTTTGTAAATTATTTTGCACATAGTTTAATATTCACCAAGATTCATTAGCTGAGCAAATTGTTCATTACAGAAGAGGTACTGATGCTGGACAAATTGATTCCTTATTAAGGCCTCCAGCGTTTTTAGCCTAATACATTGAGAACATTAAAAAAAAAAAATTCATCAGTAAACAATTTTTTACAATTCTTACCCCACTTGCAGTTTACAGCTTTCAATGCTGCTGGCTCCTGCTCTGTCAGTGCTGCTTCCCTGAGCCACCTGTTTTCTCAGGAAAGAGTTAAAGTGATTGCAAAGGCTTACCTTTTTTTTTTTTTTTTTAAATAACATGTACTTACCTGCTCTGTGCAATGGTTTTGCACAAAGCAGCCTTGATCCTCATCTTCTTGGTGTGTCACCATAGAAAGCTGCTTCCTCTTCTGGCACATCTGTGTGCTTGATCCTGAGCCCCACACCTGCTCCCTCCTCACTAGCTGTGATTGACATTGCCTCCCTCTGCTGTGTCTGAGCCAATGAAGAGGGAGGGAGCTGAGGGAGGATCAGGCTCAGGTAAGTGTAAGGGGGGGAGGCTAGCATGGGAAGCTGCATGCAGAAGCTTTTTACCTCCATGCATTCTATAACCTTCTGCCTTTACAACCACCATAACAGCGGACAGCGCAGTCTCCAGACAGTCTGTTAGCTTGCGGGAGGGAGGAGTGGGGAAATGCCTTGCTATCCTATACCAGCCTTTGTCAACCAGGGTGCCCAGGAACCTTTAGGGGTGTAAAGAAGCCAGTGGGTAGATGAAGCCTGTCTTTTGTAGGGATATTGTAAGTGTGTGTGGTGTGTTCTCATGTTATTGACCAGGCCAGAATATGAATGAGCTAGACATATTTTCCACACCAAAAGCAAAGACTCCTTACTATGTTAAATTATGCACAAGGTAACTACTTTACCTTTTGTTATGTTGGGTTAACCTGTTTTGGGGTAAATATGTGGAGAGTCAGGGGAGGTTTTAGAGGTTATTTGCATTAGATTGAGAAAGGTCTTAAATATTCATGGTGTGCTTGTTTATGGTGAAGAGAGCAGATTTGCCATAAACAAGACAAGGAGTATCTATTTATTTTTTAATTAAAATCTATGCATACAGCTATTCTAGGTCTAGACACATAAGATGAAACATGCTCCTAAAAGTGGCCAATCAGAGTGCTTGCCATTGTACTGAATGGGAAAAATGTGTATATTAAGGAAGTTTCTATTTGGTTAAAGGTCACAGGAGAAAAAGGTTCTCTGAAGGTTTCTAAGGATTGTATGAATATTCTAAGTATCCTGTCATCTGCCTTGTCTGTACCTCTGTCTTATTTAAATCAGCTGTTTTGTTTATTTTTTTTTCTTTAAACTGAGGAATTAAAAAAGAAATTTGGGTTTAAAAGAAAAACAAACACTTACCTAGGTAGCATCAGTCCCCCGCTGGCTGTAACACAGAGATCTGAGCACTCAGTTCTTGGTGTTCAGTGAGCAGAGAGGGGTGACTGTCAATCGCTGGGAGGCTGAGCCAGTTGCTCCTCAGGCATCTGGGTGAATCTCAACTTTAAAGTTGGGATCCCTCCAGAGTCTGGACTGGCTCAGTGACGTCAAGTGACCGCGGACTTTAGTTTGCTAGCGGCTGAATCTGGGTCACAAGAGTGCAGAATGAAGTGCACTCCTGTGATCCATAGTAGGGATAGGGCCAGAAGAGCCTCAACCCTACTTCTCCTTAAAGGGGAGTTCCGCTCATCTTGTCAAAAAAATAAAAGTCAGCATCTACAAAAAACTGTACCTATTTCACCTGTTGTCCTGTATTCCTGGAGGCCGGCATCTTCAGTGTGGGCACGCGGCTGTGACTGCTTGCGGCTTCACAGCTTGGTACCCACTGCGCATGCGCAAGTAGTGCTGCTCTTCATGAATGGTCCTGTAATCTATTGGGACCTGTCACGTGTCCCAAAAGACTACAGGGAGGGAGGACACGTTCCGTTTCCGATCGCCCAGGTGGTCTGACCGCCAATTCAGGTACCTGCCCCCCAAAGGTGCCAATCCTTAATGTGGAGCGGGGGAGCAGTCCTTAAAGCAGAACTTCCCCTTTTGGGTGGAGCTCCGCTTTAAATGTAATTTAAAAAAAAGTCTGAATCTGATTGACTGTGGGGCAACAGTATAAAGACAGATGATAGCTCTGGCTCTGGGGCAACAGTGTAAAGACAGCTGACTTTGGCTGTTAAGCACCAGTATAAAGATGGATGATGATTCTGATTGGCTGTGGGGCAACAGTATAAAGACAGATGATTGCTTTGGCTGTGGAGCAACAGTATAAATATGGATGATGATTGATTGGCTGTGGGGCAACAGTGTAAAGACAGATGACTGTGATTGGCTGTGGAGCACCAATATAAAGATGAATGATTACTCTGATTGGCTGTTGGGCAACAGTATAATTACAGATGATGGCTCTGGCTGTGGAGCAACAGTATATATATGGATGATGACTGATTGGCTGTGGAGCAACAGTATAAATATGGATGATGACTGATTGGCTGTGGGGCAACAGTGTAAAGATGGATGATGACTTTGGCTGTGGGGCAACATTGTAAAGACAGATGACTGTGATTGGCTGTGGGGCAACAGTATAATGACAGATGATGGCTCTGGCTGTGGGAGCAACAGTTTAAATATAGATGATGACTTTGGCTGTGGGGCAACATTGTAAAGATGGATGATGATTGGCTATGGGCCACGAGTATAAAGACGAATGATGACTTTATACTGGTGCCCCACAGCCAATCAAAGATGGATAATGACTGGCTATGAGGCACCAGTATAAAGATGGATGATGACTGGCTATGGGGCAACAGTATAAAGACATGATGACTGGCTATGGGGCAACAGTATAAAGACATGATGACTGGCTATGAGGCAACAGTATAAAGACGGAT